GTTCACGAACGCGTTCAATAAACACGTTTGTTAACAACACTATAGATTATCAAGAGAAATTAAGAAATGAGTACCATGAAAATTAAGAATTGGGTATATCGCATCCTTTGAATTCCATACCTTTATAATAGTGTAAAAATTTCTAGAGATGTATTTGATAATAATATTATTTTTGTTATTTGATTAGCGATATTTTGGATTGTGAACTTTCATTTGAAGTATTTCTCTTTGATATGAAATAATTTTTTGATAGATTTCTTACAGTTATTTAGTTTTATAATTGATATTTAATTACATCATATCTTTTATAGTTTTATAGTATCATAATGATTTGTACTTTGTGTACTGTTTCCCTTTATATGTATAAAGTTATGGCACGATGTACTAGATTGTGATCAGAGTTTCTTATTTATGGGCTAGAAACTGAATTCGTCGTTTTTGAATGTTATCTTTTTTGGTATATGATTTGACCATAACTAAAGATTGATATTTGAGATGATATTTAGATAGAAGATACCATTTATGATTCGGAGGTAATTATTAATAAAGGATTGGAGTCGTCTATTTTCTGTTTTGTTTATTTCCCATATGTCGCCTCCATAGAGTAATATATGAATTATTGTCGAGTTGAAGATACGTAGTCTGTAGTCTGGTAAATACCAAGATCTCTTTGATTTTCCATTTCATATACATGTAAAAAGCATCTCTCGGTTTTGTATTTCAATTTTTCATTTCTTTTTTGCAACTGGAATGACCCCTAAGTACTAATTTTTATACTATTTATATTGTGTTATCTCCAACCCTAAAATTTTGGAGCAGAGGCGCGTTTGGGGAAGGGAGAATAACTGTTTTGATAAAATTTATTGTTAGCTCAACCTCTATAAGTTAAGGTTTCTAATAGGTAGAGTAAATATTTCGTTTCTTCTATATTTTTAGATATCACAACGATGTCATCTGCATATGATATTGTTCTATCTTCTGAACGTATCGTCTCGTTTGACCCTATATATATCTACTAGATCGGCCGCACCCAGTGCTTTTTTTATGATTCAATATTTTATGATATTAAAAGTGGCGATAGAGTATAACATTGTTTTACACCTTTTTTTTATTCTGAGGGTAGGGGATATTTTATTATTGACTTTGAAGCATACAGACAGTTTGGAATAGCGATTTTTTATGTTAGGTTCTATGCTACATTCTGACAGCTTTTCCCATAGAGCTTCATGATTAGCTTTGTCAAAAGCCCTATGAAATCCACGAATATGAAGTAGGAGGATATTTTATATTTGCTACATTTTTGCATAATTATTTTCAGGGCTAATATTGGCTCTAGTATATTTTTGTTTGGTTTGTACATGTATATGTATATGAGGAAAAAGTAAGGTGTGGATGATATGATTTTATTTTTTAAGATGACCATAAAATCTTTAAAACGCAGGATATGAGGGCTACGGCTAAACAGTAAATTTATGAGAGTCCTTGATTTTAGGAAAATTACATAAGAAGGATTTGTTTTATTCTACTGGAGTATTTCCGCGTTCCCATATTTTATTGACGAGGACTAGTAGGAAGGAAGATATTGTTAAAGGTGCAATTTTTAGATATTCCGCTGTGATATTATCCAGACCTAGAGCTTTGTTTTTTCCGTAGTTTTTAACTACATTTGCTATTTCAGTTATGGAGTAACCTGACGGCGGTGGAGCGGGGTTTATATATATATATATATTAGTAAGGGAAGAATTGCTTTTCGTGAGTTATAGACCATCATAAAATAATCTAGCCATAATGGCATTTGTTCGTCCTGGTCAATGAATACTTTTCCGTTTCCTATGACTATAGAGGGTAGTTTTCTAAAACTTTAAGGTTTACAGAAATATTTAAACTTCTTATAAGCGTCATATATTCTATTTTCCTTTATGTCTTTTCAATATCAAATTCTTTTTTTACTATCCATCTATCACTGGGTAGTAATCTCAGTCGCTTTTTGAGGCATTATTTACTCTTAGTTGATTTAATTCCTAAAAAAAAAACTTATATTAGGCAACATATGATTCTGCAAGATCGCTTTTAAAAAGTTTCCAGCATTCTTATACGTTTCCGTGCATCTCTTTTCCTGTTTAACGCCTGAACAAAATGTTTTACATTTTTAGGTGTTTGCAATTTACTAGTTTACGAGTAAAATTAGTTTTCAAATGCTTTGTACTATGCCTAGTTGAGTTTTATCTAAATCTGTTGTAATAGTCCAATATATATCTAACAGTTATTTTAGCTATAAGCATCCTATGATCGGTAAGATTTATATTAGTTAAGGCCTTAACGTCATCAAACCACCTATGAATATTAGAGATGAAGAAATCAATTTAGAATTTCTGGCGAGTTCTCACGAAGATGTATGTATTTATTTCTCTTTGGCAAAAAAAGGTTTTTTGATAAGTTCTTATTTCTGAAGAAATCAAGAAATTTCTTACTGTCCTCGCTATTTGGTTGTTGTATGGTGGCATACCAGTGACATTACTACGAATTGATTCGGTACTTTCTCCGCTTTTAACGTCTTTAAAAGAACCACTAATTTGTTTTTCATTCCATTTATATTAAGGGATGCAATGTAACTTGTCTGTGAATTTTTTCTCCATTTGATTATATTAACTTGAATCTGGGAAAAATTTTATAAAAATATGTGAGACATTATACGAAATTATATTTAATTAAGATTAGAAGTTTGAAAATAAAAAAAAAGTAAAAAGGAAAATTTAGGTTTTCCGTAGTATAAATAATATTCATTTACTTAAGGTATAAAATAATAACGCAGTAAAATAATAACGTAGTAAAAATAATATTTATTTTTTTAAATATGACATATTTCGTTTAATGTAACATAAAGATTATATTTATTTTATTAAGAATTCTTTTAACCCTTTAAAGTCCTGTGAGCTAATTTGACAACATCAATATTATATTTTCCTGATTATATTTCTCTAGCCTGTATCAGCCCGTATAAATTTAATAATGATATTCTAAATCAATTTTATTTTTAAACCATGTTGCTGCAAAATCAAGCAGGTATGCTATTTTGCTAGGCCGCATGGTTATAAGTAGTGTTGTTAATTGGTTGGTTGTATAGAGCCCAGACCCGAGTTTTGGGTCTAAAATATAGACTAAACCAGCTCTGAGCACGAACCCCGAGCACAGACCTGGGGTTTAGACCCGGGGTCCAGACCCGGAGTTCAGGCCCGGGGTTTAGACCCAAGGTTCAGACTCGGGGTTCAGACCCTAGGTTCAGACCCCTTTTATATATCATACATAATGAAGGTATAATTAAAATTGCTAAATAATGAACTTTGTATAAATATTGTCAAATTTAAACTTGTTATAATATTTAATTTTTATAATAACGCAAAATTTTATTTAATTAAAATTAGGTCATTTGACGTTTATTTATAAAACTTAAAAGATAAACTCATTCATACAATTAGTTATAATCAAAACCTTGTTTTAACATTTTATTTTAACTTGATTTACTATTAATATTATTTATTATTTATATAAAATATAATTTGTTTTGCTAGTTACTTTTAGTTTTTATAAAATATAATATTTATTTTAGTATCAAGTCCCAGCCTACCTTTTCAAAACTCTTTCAGATGATTATTGTCATATATCCTATTTATATTTTATTTATCATATTATATCACTTCACATAAAAAAATTATATTTTTTAGATTTTGAAAATGTTGTTGTATATATATAAAATTTATTATAATAAATGGAATATTATATTATATACATTAATATTTTTAAGTTTATAAATCTTATTTGTATAAATAATATATAAAACAAATTTAGTAGAAATATGTAAATTATCCCTAAAATAAAACAAATTTTTTATTATTCACAATTTATAAAAAATCAAAATAATATGTAAAATCAAAATAATTTGTTGATTATATACTATCAGTTTAATAAGTAATAAACCTTTTCTTGGAAATAATTATAAATATTCATGATAAAAATTAAAATTTCAATAAATATTTATATTCTAACAGGTTGAAGTAAATAATCCTAAAATAAAACAAACAAGCATCAGTTCCATACAAGCTTGAAAAGATATTGGTAAAGCACCGCCAAACTTTTTAGTTTTCAAATTTAACGCAGTTAAGCTAAGATTTGATTGGATTAAAGTTCAACTCTAAATTTTTCCTTACCAATGTAAACATTGTAAAACCAGCCTACATAGCAAGGGTAGAATTTCCTCTATTGGCTTTTGTCGAGGCAGTTTCCCACAGCACACCAAATGTTACGACATCATCTTGCGAACACTTAAATCTGCAGTGATTCTCTTTAGACATAAATCAACTGACTGATTTAGAACCTGTGGAAAATAATCTTATGGGATGTCCTTAATTCCTTGGGAGCCAATTTCTGGGTTAAACTACACCTACACTGACCCAAACGCATCAGCAACCACAACTTCGCAGCCGCCCTTGGAGATATCTGAAAGCTCACCAAATCAGCTCCATCGATCCTTCTTACTCATTTATACCCATCGCCTGCTCCATTAAAGAGTTGGGGAGACATACTTGCACCCTGAGGAATCTCTTTTTTTACAGCATTCGTTTCGTTTTAACTACCTAAGTTTCATTTCATCCATCGAATAATCGTCAATGCCTCACTACATTTTCTTTCTTCCTTTAACTTCCTAGTTTTTGTTTACTATTTTTTAGACATCTTTTATTTAGATTTTATCCTTTTATTCTCCTAAATTATTTATCTATATTTATCGCCTTTATTAATTTTTTCATAGAAAATAGTTATATTCCTTTCCTCCTATATATAATATACTATTTCGTTTTATTTCCTTAAATAAAGAAACAAATGGGGAAAAAAATGTTATAGGGATATAAAGATTTTAAAAAATATTTAAGCACATCTTAGAGAAAAAAAATCAAAATATTTTTTCTAGTTTTTGACGATGATTGACATCGAAGATTTAGGAATTTAGGTAATTTAAGGTTTACCCAAAAAATATGATATCATATGACAAATAATCTATCCATGATACTATTTTTTACTTTTAAAATCTTATCTTATAAATCAATGAGATGAATAATAAAAATGGTTCCTTACAAAAAGATACTCATTTTTTGTAAGTTGATATTTCAACATTTATTGCTAATATAATTTTATTTTTAATGGCAATAATTTTTTATTTTTCTCACCCAAACCCAAAATAACATTCTTAAAACAATTTAACAAAAATGTAGAAAGTTAAAAATAATTGCATGTTATAATTAGAGATATAGTGAATATAATATTGCAACATTTAATAGATATAAGATTTACTCTTTTTCATATATTAGATATAATTTATAATTGTACACTGAAAAGAATTACATATGAAATATATTAATTTCCCTGCTATAAATTCATCCATAATTATATAACAATTTAGGAACTATATTTTATTATCTATAGGATTATAAGCTATTTTTTATAACATTTTGGATAATTTACTCATATCCTGTTAAATAGAAAGAAAGAAAAAAATAACTCCCCCTAATTTTTTTTTATGGAAAATTATCTTCCATTTAATTGAAATTGTTTTTATTATTTTTTTAAGCCATTTAATTTAAAAAAAGATAATATTTTAAAGATAAGAATTATATTTTTATTGTATGATCAGCATTATTGGCCTTTTTAAGTTGAAGAGATTTACCAAAATATAGGAGTACAAAAAGGTAATCCTATCCAAAAGCTTTAAAAATTAATTAATAAAATGATTACACCACATGCACTCTCTCCCTCAAAGACCAATGACTGTTTTTTTTGTCCAAGGCTACCTATGGCAAAAAATTTCAAACCCAGACCTGGATTCTGGCTCATAAGGAAGAATTTTTAAACTCAAAATATTTCTTTAGTTATTGACATGTATTAAATTTAAATAATCAATTATTAAATAACTAAAATAAGGAAGAAAATTAGAGGGTTAGGTTGATTAAAATTTGAATCTAGGTTTGGGAAGAAGATCAACTTTGTTAATTTAAAGATGTTTATAGTTCATTCCATGACAAATATGCCACGATTCAACTAACCCCCTTTATTTAAAATTTGGTAAGCAAAGAAAGGTTAATTTTAACTAAGAATTCATCAAAATTTATTTATCTTAACATTTATATTCTTGGAGATGTTAGGGTTCAAAAAGTGACAAAAATGATATACATTTAAGCTGCCATCATTCAATTAAGAATATCTTAAAATTACATCCTAAATAACAAATTCAATATCAAAATTGCATTATTTTTAGCTAAAAATAATTTTCTTTTGATTATTTCAAGAAAAAAGATTTTTTGGGTTTCAATTTTTATTAGTAGATATTGCCAAATTCTTTCTTTATATTTATAAAAAAAATCGGTTTAGTAAGAGGTTAGCTTCCTTTTCAAAATCAATAAAAATGAGAAAAGTATAAATATTTTCCCAGAAGGGGGTGTCTTTGTATAAAATATATTAATCAGTTTTTAATAGTTTTTCTTGAGCTATGTGATATAATTTAAAGGATTATTCATTCTTTATGTCAAAATAACAATAAATGGGGGTTTCAATCAATTATAGAAATTGTCTATCGATAAAAGAAATTCAATTACATTATATATAATTTATTTAAAATTATTTGCCCATATAACTTATATTTATTGAATATTAATAAATACGTCCAAAAAAATTTTCTGATTCTTAAATATATGAATCAAAATCTTGTGCATTTCATATATGGCGCCCTAAATATTAAAAATAATTGATAAAAATCTAATATATATAACTCACTTTTAAAAGGTTCTAATTTTTCTGTAGCGCATTTACCTCTTGTAACGTCAATGTATAACAATGTCCAGTAGCAGTTAACGGTGAAACTAATGTTGATTTTGGCAAGTAAAGAGTGTCGTCTATACTTGAAAATGTAAATGAATTAGAAGGTCCGGATGGGTGTAAAAACTTTATACATATCTTTCTGCTTTTGATTTTTCCCTAAAACATAGGCTAACCTCCAATTAGAATCGTAAATACACGTTATGTATCCTGATATTTCCAACAAGATTATACTTTCTTCATTATATGATAAATATTTTATAGTGATATCTATTGAATTCGAATACATTTTACTACTAAATAGATGTAGACCTGTCAGAATCACGGTGTGAATTTTTTGTGTTCCAGGTATCGGTCTAGTTTTGATAATCTTTCTCTGAATAATAGTTCTTCATCATAATTTTTTGGGCCATGTATTCAAAATATATGCTATTAATATTACCTTTAACTTGAAACTTGTTCTAGCCGCCAATCTTTTAACAGTGCCACAAATCCCATCAAATACTTTTCCCTTGTGCTGTAGCAAATAATATCATTCCTCCTGTACCCCATCCATTTCATGATGGCAAATATCAATAAAATTTTTACGATTTTTATACTGTGCAGCGGATCCATGATAATAAAATTTTTATTTGGCATACAAAATTTATTAATTAAAAATTTGCCTTTTTTTGGAAATAATGTTTTGCTATTATGTTGTGTTGCAAAGATTCGGATATCATTACAATTTAGGAAACAAATATTGGGAAAATTATCTTTATAATATATAACAAAAGGGTGAACAGTGAAATGGCCTCTATTCCAATGATCACTTTGTATTTCATCTGAAGTTATAATTTTCTGAAAAATCACATAAAATTTATTATTGGCCTTCGTCTAAGTTAAATTTTAGATGGTTTTAATACAACGATTGTGGTGTTGAGATAAAAGAATAAGGGTAATAAAGATTCAATTTTTTTCAAAAAAGGCATTGATATATTTATCTACTGGCTTGGTGATTGTTTCAAAAGTAGATCAATCTACGGATAGTGATTGTTTTAAGAGTAGTTCTATCTACGAATAGCCAATGTTTGTGTGTTATAAATTCAATACTTTTAGAACAAAACAATATTTCTATTTGTTCGCGTAAATGTACAAAACAATATTTCCATTTATTCGCGTAAATGTTTTGACCCTGGACAATGATCACATTTGCCCATATAACAGGATGGTTGAGGCTGATTACAATTTATTAAGGGCAAAATATCATAGCATCTTTGGTTAAATTGGGTAAATTTGATCCAATGATCATTAATTTTAAATTCTGATGGTAGTACAAACATATACATTATGTGTACCATTACCTCCTACTAGTATACATTTTTTTAGGCGAATGCTTGCAAATTTCCAAAAACCCATTTAACATTTTGGCGCCATATTTGAAATACACAAGAATTTATATATTCAAGAACTCATATGGGCAAATTTTATAATAAAATATAAATAATGTAATAAATTGAATTTCTTTTATCGATAAACAATTTCTATAATTGATTGGAACTCCCCATTTATTATTTTCGCTTACAAGATGAATAATATTTTTTTTATCTAAAAATCTTTTTTCCAATTATTTATTTTTTTACCTCGCTCTTTTTTTTTGTCAAAAAGTATAATGAATGTAACTTAAACATGAAAATTTAAATATAATATCATAATTAATTATAATTTTTATGATTCATTATTTAATATTGAAATTTATATTTTCAATTTGTATTTTTTATTATAAACTAAATCATCTGGTATAAATTATTTAAAATGCCATCACAAATGGGTATCAAAATTGATGTAATTGAGTCTTTTTTATTTTGAAGAATGTTCATGCCAGCAATTTTAAAGAGATATAAAAACATCTTAATAATTTTGGTATAGGAGACTACATCCAAAAAAAAATCCAATTCAATTCAAACTAAATTGCTTAATAATATAATATTTCTCAAAAACTGGTTGATAAAGTCAATGTCGATTTTATAATTGATACAGTTTAGACATATCATTAGCTGATAATCCATCATTTACCATGGTGATTAAAACTATCCCTGGTACAACTTATTGTCGCCAGACATGGATGATTAATATGCACATAACTTTGAAGTAATGAAAGATGCTAAAGATCAACATAATAGGCTCATGGTAAAGCTGAATAATCTACAAAGATCCTTAGTTAGAACCACAAAAACGACGTCAACTGATAATTTTTTTAAAATAAAGGATAATAGAATCCTATTTTTGATAATTTTTCTTATATTAAAAATATGTATATGAAATAAAATATGCCGTAAGTGTTAGCTAGTGTTGAGAGATTATTTAGTAAGGCGAAACTTATACTTTCTGATCGTCGCTCTAGACTTGAGGATGACAGATTTTATTATTAAAATGCAACAAAATTAATAAAAAAAATGAATATTACCATTAAATAGTTATTTTTATTACATTAATTTTAGGCACTTAACATTAAATTTTTTATAATCAATAACTAAACAAATTATTTCTAAATTTTTTTTATAAAAAGTAGCCGACGCTACTTTAAAAAAATAGTAGCTAATAGCGCGCTACCCTTTTTGATGGGTAGGGATAGCAAGAGCGCGCTGTCTTTTTTGACAAATAGCATTAGCAGTAGCGCGCTACATTTAAAAGTAGGGATTAACAACTCTGTTTAAAAGTATAATCCTTATATGTAATTTTGATATTAAAGTTGGTACTTAACAATTATGTTTGAACTCTCTTCAAAAATAGAAATGTTAAGAGGCTAAAATTTTTAACTATTTTTTTAATTACACTAACATTTATTTGCTTACCAATTTAAAAAAAAATCTAAAGGGGTCGACCGAAAATCTCATTTTTTTGCTCATTTGACATGGAATGACCCTTATATATTTATTTAAAATACTTTAAAAAAATAAAAAGTAAATATTTCCATATCTTCTTATTTTTAAAACTTTTCTTATTTTTTTTAAATTCATTTTATAATTGTGAAATTAAAGGACAAAAGCTCCAAGTTTGGATGATATACTTTTGGTTTTGGCTACAAATCGCGAATTAGCCTTTTTAAAAATCGGCGAAATCAAGCGTTTAACACACTAGCTATTTAAATTTTCCAAAATAATAGTGCTACAAATGAAAGTCTGCTTATATTTATTAGTATATTTATTTGCATTGGTATAAATTAATTAGATACTCAAATTAAATAAGTGATATCAAAAAGCCAATATTGCAATTCGTTTGAGATGATATATTCTGCGCCTTGTTTTTTTTATAATCTGCATAAAGCATATCTTGACTTAGTTTTTTATTTAAAGTTTTATCTGTTACTTTTTAAATTCATACATTTATTTTTAAATGTCATATTTAATAAAGAAATAAAATTTAACAAGCAATAATAATCATCCCATCACTCATTTTCTTTCACCAATAAGAGTATAAGTTTTTTATTACACAAGACAAGAATTAGTTCATCCTTGTAACACCTCTAAAAGTAACAACCTTATCCAAAAAAAAGTCAAATTAGCAAATCCCTAAATATTATTATACTTTTTCAATAATAACTTCACTACTCGCTGGTTCATATTGCTTAAGAATACTAGTTTTATCAAATGGCTTCATTTAGCCAATATATAAAAAGAGCTAAATTAAGATTTTAGACGAGTCCACCAATAGATGTCCAACCCTTTCTGCCATCTAGTAGAGAAATTTTCAGGCCTGGATAATATTTTTCAATCTTTTGTTAGCCGTTTTAAAAAATCGGCAAAATTTGACAACACTAAGGGTTACTAAAAAGTTAACCTCCTAATATTGATTTTGGAGTTCTCTAACGCGTCTCTCAAATCGGAAAATCATTAAGCGTTTTCTAATTAAATCTCAGGCGTTTTAATCATACTCTTACCCTTTGCTACGACGCCACCCAATTTTTATTTATTTAGTGTATTTGATATTTTTTTATATAATATACCCCATTATAATCTAAAAGAGTAACCTTTTTGTCATATGAAAGAAATGCAATTTATTGGAAAATTTTCAATAATAAAAATAAAGTATATGCTATTGGTTAAATTATTTAAATTTTACAAGGGCAGTCACGTCCAAATATAATTGGGTAATGCCTAAATGTCAATTAATTCGGCTCAATTTCTTACCCGTGCCGGAGAAAATCCGTTAACATTAGGCGTTTTAATTTATATTCGTTTCTTTCAAATTTGGCCGCTATATTTTAAGGAAAATCATTAGGCCAAAGTGATAGTTTTCGGTTATAAACTAGGTTTCGCTGACTAAGAATTGGCTTAAACGGCAAAAAATATAGTAATTACCCAACTATACAGCCAAATCATTTAATTAATATTAACTGGCTTGTACATTAGTTTTGATTATTTCTTTAAAAAATAGATCGATTTCCATTATTTGTATCATTTTTAGGTTATAAATAAAAATTAAATATTTTCGTTTAATCATAAGGTTAGGTTAAATAAATATGAAATAACATCCGGTTGCTAGCCATAACCATAGATATCAGCAAGCGAAAATATTTTTTAAAAAGTTTCCTCAATTTTTTTAAAAATTCCCAATGCTTATACACCATTCATTTATGCAGGCATCACATACTATTTTATTAACATAAACATATTGTATAAATTATAGAGTGGGAGTGCATTATTTATATTAAAACCGATCAAGTTACAAATATGAATAATTTTAAAAAACGAAAGAGTATTTATTATAAATGTTATTTTAATAATTACGTAGGTAATTTAAATATTAAAAATGGTGTCTTGTCTTATACTATAAAAAAAATAGAGTTAAATACGCATTTTTAATTGAGGAGCCTGACCCTTTTCAAAAATATTAATCATAATATTTATTTTTGTAAAATGGCTTTCTAATATATCTTGCTAGCAATTTTATTTGTAAAGTATAGGCTTATTTTTTTTATGATATTAACTAAGTCTGAACCGTTATATAAAAAGTTACTGTTCGGGTACGGTTTTATTCAGGAAAGCCCTTAGTAAATTCCTCAGAGAAAAATAAAATACCTCAATTTTCAAAAAAAAATTGTTTTAAATATATAGAAATTTGCTAGTAAATTATAACGGCTCGGTTAACTCCCCTATATATCCATTTATAATTAGTTTTCAAATTCTTTTCTATTTAGGAATTATTTCGAAATTAAAAGATTAAATCGTAACCTAGAATAATGCAAACGGCTCCGAATTTAAGAAAATTCGGCCTAAATTTTTTAAAAATTGGGCAGGGATCGGGCTTGTAACAGTAATTTTTTCATTTAACTTAATAAAAAGCATTAATTGAGATTTTTGGGCTTAATATCGATATAAAATATAAGGAAATAAAATATGTTTGCAGATTGATTATACTATACAATATAAGTCTTAAATTATAAAAGTATTTATTAACAACTTACAATTATGCAATATGCCAAATATGATTGGTTTTTTATTATTATAATTAAATTTTATGGGGTAGGCTAATTTTGTTCCCGAACCAGGAGAAGGAGAAATAACTTATGAATATCAGACTTGTTAAAAGACACTTTTCAAATGTATTTAGACCCAAATAAATAACAAGTTTTTTCAAGATATAATTAAGATACATTTTTTTATTATAATCATATAAGTTGAGCATACTTGTCAAAATTAAAAATCTATTATTAAAACTCAAATTGTGTAGTGAACTAAACATTCTTTATTCAGTTTAATATTATATTTATATTTTATAATTAGATCATTATAAAATATTATTGTTAACTTTTTTATTATTAAAAATTCTCAAAGTTTTTATCACTGAGACATAGCTATCCATCTACACATTTTTAGTTACGCTAAAAAGCTTTTCATGAATAATACCTTGTCAGGCGCCTAGCCAGGAATTTTCTAAGGAGGGGAGGGGCTGTAATATTATGAATATTGAAATAACAATTTTTGGAACATTAAAAATTTATAAGTTCTAATCATATTTTAAAAAATAAAAATTTCCCACACAAATGATAAAATATTGGAAATGCAAAATATTTGAGAGCGAATATTTAAGAAATATTATAGCTTTCTAACACGGTATGTTAAGAACAATAAAATATAGAATTTTTAAAAAAATTAAGCAAAATATCATTGATAAATAGAGATTTAATCTTCTTTGCGATTACGCCAATTTTTCAGTAATTTATTTTGTAACTGAGGATTAAATCTCTATGTAATATATATATAAAGCTAATCCATTCAAGCGATTAGGACTAATTTTAATTTACTTTTTTTTTTTTACTATTTCATTTACTATAATTCTTTAAAATAAAAATTGATCAATGATTTTTCTAGAAGGAAAGGTGACAAGCTAGACAATAACAAAATAACCGTCATGCATACTGGACGACCCATCAAATGCGTCGTGGTCGGGGACGGAACGGTCGGCAAAACATGTATGCTAATATCCTATACCACCGATAGTTTCCCGTTGGAATACGTACCTACCGTGTAAATATAAATCGTGTTTCTTATAAATATATATGAGTTTATTCATACATGAGTGTTGGTTTAATCATCAAAGCGCTATTATTTTAAAATTTTTAAGATAGCAAAATATAAAATCGATAAAAGGTATTTATATTTAGTAGGCTTTGTAAATTGTTTGCCAAAATAAGAGGGTTATAAATTATAATTATTTGTCATTGGGTCGTCTACGGTTAGATTTAAATTTTTGCAAAATTCTCCCGTAAAACTCGGATCGGGGATAAAAAATTTGATGATTAAAAAAACGGATGGGACCCGATAAGATGGATAAAATAATTTTTAGAAAACTATGAAATTTTTTTCTTTATGATTTTTCAGGGCTATAAGCTAATTTAATAACAAATTTTAAACATGTTTCTAATTTTGTTTGGCTACAATAAAAAATTTAATTTATTTATACATAAATATAAAAAACATCTATATAAATTTTCACCTTCGTTTTATTTTGTCCTAGAGAAATGACATGGAACTTTTATGTTCCATAAATTTCTGTGAATTTTCATATGATTATACCATAAAGTGACCGAATTAGAGGTCTGCAATAGGCGGGCGAGCTAAAAGATTTTAAACATTGGTGGGTGAGCGGGCGGTTTAAAAAAAAATTTTTGAATTTAGAATATTTTTCGGGCCAAATGAGTAATCATTTTTTTTATTTCATAATTTTGCATATTATAAGTTTGTAAAAATACATTTAAATAAATAAAGAGCCAAACCAACCATTAAAATATTTTTTAAACAACAGACCGGTGAGTTAAACAAAGTTTTTTAAATAAATAGGCTTGCGGATAGTTTAAAAAAACATTTTCGTGAGGGACGAGCTGGTTAATTTAAACAATAGGCGGGCAGGCGCTCGAGATAAAACCCGCTCATTGCAGACTGAATCACGGACAGAAGTGTCTTTAACAAAAATATATGGAATGCTGGACACAAATATTTCAATTTTTAAGCATTTAAACAAATTTTAAAATTGGGGTATTTTTGTCCGTGATTCAAATGGGCAACCTTGTCCCACATTTCAAATATTTTTGTAGAAATGATTAAATTTATGATTTTTATTTATAATTTTTAAAAACGATGATATATTTATGTATAAATTATACTTACCATAAATTTAACGAATCTTACCTAGCATTGTTAAATCACTAGACCAACTCCATTACTAGGCTTTTGGTCTAAAAAACGACTTCACACTCTAAGTTGAAATTCAACCTAAAAAGGGGGACGAATTATTTAGCAAATAAAAACTTATCCAAGCGGTTTCGAATTTGACTATAGATAAGTGATTTAACAAAACTTAAAATAAATGTTAGCGTCATATCAGATCTCATATCACTGCTTAACCTAGTTACTTATAAATAAATAAAATAACATCTTTCTTTGGCAATTTTTGGTATTTGGAATATACAGATTTACTTTTGTCAGATCGAAGATAATTATTAAGTTATATAATATTTGACATTACCCTAGCTTAATTATTTCCCGAGAAATTTAAATTCAAACCTTCAAAATGAGAGTTTTTCGCATTGCCTTTGTTTTTAAGTAAAGAATTTAAAGATATCTCGTCCCTTCTGAGAAATTTATTAATTCAAATATTTGTGGAATTTTTATATGAATGTTATTTAAATTAGAATCAAAACTTTCTCTGCATCATTGCAATTGCAAAATCGGCTCATCCTCGAGGCTCTGACCTAAATAAATCTGCTAAGTCAAGTCTTAAAGCATCGAATTGTTTTTGCCTTAATCCTTAAGATTGAGCCATTTTTCAAGTTATAACTTGAAGTTGATCTATTTTGGAGTCGGTTTAAATTTAATGAGCTATCGATAACATCAGTATGAACAACGCTATACCATTTGAAATGCATTATTTATAATCAAACGAAACGCAAAAAAATTTTATTTTATATATTCAATAATCAATTTTAAAATGATCATTATTTTTTCGAATAATTTAAAAACAAAACTCTGCTTTTTGTTTTTTTTAATATTTTTCCAGCAAAAAGTATAAAATCTTGGATAAAATAAATATTCATTAAAACTTCATGGAATAAATATTTGATGATGGGACTTTAATTTTTTTAATATATAAATTTTTATTTACACACCAATAGTTAGATAAAAATTTATATTATTTTCAATCGAAATTCCGTTAATATTTTTTATCGATTTTCAAAGAATTTTATTTATATAGCGTTAATGTTAATACATGAGAAATATGAGAATAAATATTTTTGAATTGGTAATCTAATTTTGCCATTAATATAAAAATATATTATATTATATTGTTATTCAGAAAAAGGAAGGAAGGAAGGAAGGAAGGAAAAAAAGAAAGAATATAATACAATAACCAATTATTTTTAACAAGCTGATTGTATTTATATAGTGATTTGCATTGGGCCTAATTTTTCAAGCCTCAATTCTGAACAAATTTTTTTTCTTTGCTCCGAAACCCCCAACCGAAATAAAAATTATTTGTCGGCGCTGCCACTGTTTATAATAAATTAATTATTTTTTTCAATATAGTTTTTTATTTTTACATTAAACATGTAGATATAATTTATTGGTTAAAAGATTATATCACAAAATGTTTAGTAGCTGGAAATAAGATAATATATAAGGATTGAAAAAATATTTGCTGGATAAAGTTTTTACACTTAGAAAGCTCTTATATTTAAATTATTAAGCAAATTGTGATGCATAAGCTTCTATTTTAATAGGTAGTCACATACTTCTTCAGTTATGTAGATCAATTTTTTATTTGTATAATTTATCATATAATAAATACATAAGATTTGACAATTATACAGCCGCCATGATCGTCGGAGGCGTTCCGGTAAACTTAGGTTTATGGGACACGGCCGGACAAGAAGATTACGATAGACTACGGCCTTTATCATATCCCCAAGTAATAGATATTTTTTTATATTTTTCCCAATATCGATCCTGTAAGGTTGTATTTTGCCGATATAAATTTGATATAAGCCGCACTGTTAACATATTTATTTTTTAATAGCATTGTGAAAAAATGTCAAGTGAAATAAATCAAAAAGGGTAAAATAAGTATAAACAGGTATATAAACAATGTATTATCCCAACATTTTAGCATTGTATTATACACAATTATTAGCCGGTAATCCCATATTCTATAAGAAAAATGAATTGACCCCATCCTGTTATTATTTAATATAAATAAAATTGATATAATATATTATTATCACCAAGGTTCAATTGTAAGGACTTTTTATATTTATTGAGATCGGCGATTCCCGCATGATCGACTAACTTACCCTCTAAAAAGATAATTCTGATTGAATGGGGCTTAATGTACAGTTAAAATGTTAAATTGACTCTCCCCTCATTGGTTTAATTATATCCTCAATAAAGTGAACGCATCTTTTTACTGATATAGTTAGTAGAGAGGCCAACGGAAACGTTTAATTTATTGAACAGGTGGCGAAATAAATCCTGATTAATAATAACCCTTACCTAAATCCTGATTAATAATAACCCTTACCTCTTTGGACTCAACATATCATCATCCATTTTAAGAGCAAGTTGATTGTCATACTTCTTACTGTCCGATTTTTTGGGTGTCTAATGAACCTCATATCGGGTTTTTTATATTGACGAACTCATATTACGTCCTTTTTACCTTTTTTGGGACGAAGGAATCTTTGTATTTTTCTGCGATATTTATTTCAACAAACTGTGGTTGAATTATCAATATCTTGGCGGTTGATTCTTATATAAACCACAACTATTTTAAAAGGTTCCATGTCAATTCAGCTAAACTTATCGCAAATCCATAATAGCGAATACAATATCGTGAATTTTTTATAGCGAAGTTATTATCGCGAATACAATATAGCGACAATTATTTCGCCAAACATATATTGCGAATAAATTATTGCTAATTTAATATCGCGATAATTGCTAATAATTACTAATTTATTTTGAAACATTTTTTTTATAATTCACGGCCCGGCCCGGATTAAAATATTTTCGGCCCGGCCCGGTTTTTTTCAAAAATTTATTACTGTCCGGCCCGACCCGGGTTTAAAAATTAAAAAAAAAATATTTTTAGGCCCGGCTCGGAATTTTTTAAAATTATATTCGACCTGGTATATACAAAAAATTCACCTATTCCGTATTTTTTCATATTTTTCGGCGAGTATTATTATTTAATAAGCAAGCATATTAGCTAATGTTGTTAAACGGCTCGTTTTGAGTCTATTTATAAAAACGGCTAACTCAATATTTTCCCTAGAAAAATATTGACTAAGCCTCGAAATTTCGATACTATATGTATAGACCTTTGCTCCTTCTATGAGCAAAATTTTCAGGGTTGCACTGAGTTAGCCGTTTTTAAAAATCGGCTCAAAAAGCCGTTTAACAACACTAATTTATTTTTTTTATATTCTAAACAGATATTTAGTATATTACAAATTGATACTATAAAAAATTTGTTTAAATAATAATTTGAGAATATACTATATTAATTGTATTTATAAAAAAAATAAAACTGATATGTTAATTAATAAAAAATATAACATATAGTATTTAATAATGTATTTAATCCTTTGCGTATTAATTCCATGGCAGGAAAACTATAATTATATTATGTAATAGATACTATGAGTGTTAGCTAGTGTTAACTTTCACCAAACATTATATTAATCATTTATAATCATTATAAACATATCTAATTGACGAATATAATAATTCATGTTGTATAAATTGGGTATATTTTAAAATACGGCCCGATCCTGCCGGGTCTGCAGGTCTCTGATAATTATATTAATTGAATAATATTTTTTAAAAAATAGGTGGAAGATTGATTCATGAAAGAGTTTGTAATTTTCTTTTAACCTAAATAAATTTATATAATGATTAATGAACTTAGATCTGGTATATGAAGTTAGTTATTGGAATATACTTTTTTGCGATCCTGTCCTATGCTTTTCTTCGATGTTCATATTTTATAAAAATTGCGCGCAAGGAACTCAGCTTTATCAATATATTAATCATTGAGTTTATTAGTTAAATTGATATCTGAGTACCATTAATGTTTATTGTCTGATGATTTAATATTTATATATTTATCAATCAGTTTTGGCCAGGGTTGGCAAGTCGGTCAATTTACCAGTTAAATGACTGAATTTGACCGGTCAATTGAACGAGGGAATATTTGACCTGGTCAAATATTCTAAAAAATCTGAAGATAAAAATATGTTTGAAAAAGAAAAAACGATATAAATACATGTGATCTGATCACAATTCTGTTATTTATTGAATTCCTAATATTAAAGGGAGCATCTTACTCATAGTGAATTTAATGAAGTATGTGATATAATACAGGAATTAGGCATACAAGGTGGTGATTAAAATATTTCAAGTTATATCATAAATTTAGGAAATAAAAGCGGCACACTTAAATATGGCAGATATGGCCGGGCCTAAAAAATTTTGCAATTACAAAATGAGAAAATTGAATAAGACATATATTTAATCTGGAATTAAAATCATAGCCACTTTTTATAATTATTTTTTATTATCCTTTATTAAATACTCTTGTCAAAATTTAGAAAATATTTTTAACCCCCCCCCCCCCACCCTTGTCGTGACCTAGATCTGAGGTAATGTGACGATTTAGCGCTCAGTTTTAAATTATCTCATTTGATATTTATGCCTATATAGAACTCTTATGCTGAAAGATATTTATAGGCCTGCCCCCTTATCTAACAAAAATAGTGTAAATGTAAGAGTAAATAATTAAACACTTAACTTATTTTGCCCCGGTTTCCCGATATATCTTTATTTACTTGATTTGTAACATTTTCTATTTATTTTCAAAAAATTCTGATTTATTTTAATTCCATTTATTAAAAAAATGAGTAAAAGTGCTTACAAATTACGTAGAAGCGTTTAGCGGTGTTTTCCTAAAAACGCTGTTATTTAAATTGAACTGCAACTGGTATTATTTTTAAAAAATGGTGAAAACTATTTAACGTCTTTTAATTTTTTTATATTGTTTTGTTGGACTTGTGAAATCAGCAAAAATAAATAACTAAAAGAACTGAAGATCAGATGATTTATTTCCATAATTCATAAACATAACAAATTTGTCTAATATTTTTTTTTGATTAATCATAACTTTGCAGTTATTTCTATTTATTGAAATGCGGAAAGAAGAAAAAGGGGAGGTCAACATATTTAAATTTACTTTTAATGACATAAAGCACATTTTAAAAATTTATGTTGGGGGTAGGGGTTAACTTATTCTGGTAAAAACTTAACCCAAAATATCCTCCGTACTTACAACCATGAGTGAGTGAGACCAGAACACATTAGATAATGGTTTCATGCTTACTAAATAAACAATAAGCAAATATTCTTAAAATATTCACGTTATGATTTAAGGAACTTTGGTTGGTAAATTGATATTGAATATATTGTTTTCATTTAAATAAATGAATTTGCAATTTTCGCGGTCATGCGCTCGCTATAATGATTTCGCGCAAATACATTCACGGTAGAAAATTTGCTATAAAGGGTTCGCGATAAAAGCTTCGCTATAACGAGTTCGCGATCAAAGTTTCGCTAAAATGTATTCGCGGGTTAGGTTTCGCGGAAATAAATTCGCGATATTGTCTTCGCTAAAATATATTCTCTATAAAGTATTCGCGGTTAAGGTTTCTCGGAAATAAATTCGCGATAATGAGTTCGCGATATTGTCTTCTGAATTGACCTGATACTATTTTAAAATACTAGGCCTCATCCTAGCTCGATTTAATTGTTATTTTTAATATGGATTTTGACGATATCCCTAAAATATCTTTATAGGTATACTTTTTATAAGTCTACAAGCCCGGTCCTCTTCGGCCAATAGAAATTTTTGCGCAAGTAGTCTAGGGCATGAAATTTTTATTGCGAGGCCCGGCCCGTTATAGTTTTTTAGAAATTTAGCCAGCTAGGTATAAATTTTAGAAAAGTTTGGCTGGCCCCTTAAAGTTTTACGAAAAGTCCGCCCCAACCTTAAATTTTTTGTTCGAATTTTCCGGCCATCACATTTTTGATATCTGTGTATAAATTTTTTCTCAATATAAATTAAGAATCTTATATCTCTCCTCTATGGTTATCTATTTTACAACAACCCTTTTATAAATTAATTGTGATACTATAACATTTATAATTGGATCATCATAAATAACTTGTTTATTTTTTTGTGAATTTGCTATATTATATATAGATTTAGTATTTTAATTTGACAGCTTTTAAAATACAAAGAAATAAGCATAAATTAATTTATTTTCAAATAGTATCAATCAAAATAAATAGCTTACACTATTGGTTGTCTGAATAAATGAAATATATTCTAAAAAAACACAATTGAATTTTATTACAGTATTGGTTATCCGCTTTAATAAATGAAATATATCCAAAAAATTCTCAATCGAATTTTATTAAAATCAACGGGAAAAATGAATAATCATTTCAATGACAATCTTCCCCTTTTATAGGGGAACCCATAATTATAAAAAAAATAATTATAATAAATATTTAAATTAGAGATCTGCAAAAGTAGGACCTAATAATTTTTAAAAAATTCGGGCCGGGTCGGGCCTTGGAATTTTTTTTAAATATATCGAATTTTATCAATTTTATGTTGAATTTTTTATGTAAATAAAAGATTTTATTTTATTTATAGAAACTAGACCGCATATGATATATATCTTTTATTTTGAGTAATTATAATTTTTAAAAAAAATTAATTTCTATAATTTTATAAATTCGGTAAACTTTTTTTTAAAAAATATGGCCGGCTTGAAAAATTAGGCCCGATGCAGATCACTAATTTTAATAGTAAAAATAAATGAGAATCACAACGACTCTGCTAAAATGTAAAATAATTCTTTTATGCACATAGTTTAAAAATAAATCTTTTTTCAAATTAATGTTTTAACTCTTGGTGACTCACGACAGAAATTCTGTAAAATATATCAAAATCAGGCTGTCCCATTAAAATTTTAGAAAAATCAGAGATTTGCGAAGCCCTCCCAGTATTTTTTATATAAATTGTCAGACCCGACCAGAAAATTGTTTATATACAAATTGCTCAGCCCAGGCCGTTTTTTTACCCGGCCTGTTTTAATTTTTTTATCATTTTTCCCGGGGGATTTCCAGACCTCTAATACTTATTTCTATTTTTTAAATCTAAAAAATACTATTCAGAAAAGTTATTTGAAATTTTAATAGAAAAAAGATGTGTCATAACGCAGCATGTTTATTTGTGTTTTTCTCTTATAAACAGACAGACGTATTCATAGTATGCTTTAGCGTGGTGAGCCATTCTTCCTACGATAATGTGCTTAACAAGTGGGTCCCAGAAGTACGCCATCATTGCCCCCACGTTCCAATCATCATCGTAGGTATATATGGATGGATGCACCATTTCTTTAAGGAAGAAATTAAATATAAGGGACAAAAATATAGTATTCGGAAAATAAGCCAATAATTACGAAATATTTGCAATAGTTAGTATAGTTATAATATATTTTGTATGCCGAAATATGATTGGTTTTTTTAAAAAACGCATTCATGCACCTTTTAATTTGAAAGTATTTACTATTATAACATTTTTAATTGTTCAATTTAAATATTATTGGTGCAAAAAAAAAATAAAATTTATGAATACTATTAGAGATACCCGAGCTGTTACTATTTTTAGCCGAATCTTAATCGGTTCTTTTTTTAATCGACGTTATTTATTAATTTTTAAATAGTATAGCTATGACGGTGGAGGCATTAATCATATTGGTAAAACTAATTAAACTTCAATAGGTGAGGATGTTGGTAAAATGTTATTGAAATTAAAAAATGTTCTATGTTTTTATAATCATTCAGAATATAAATATTATATCGGTTGTCTTTTGAATAATTGAATACCTCTCTAATTCCGCATTATTTGTAGCATTGTTCGATGTACGTGGGTAGCCTATAACCCACCTATAACTTATAGGTTACTTTTACTAAGCCTCATTTTTATCGATATTTGATAATAAAGGTATTTAAACCTAGTAAACGTTATTTGGAGGCAACACGGAGGCTCCCAAGCCCCTGAAAACTCAACATTCGAAAAAATTTAAGATTTTTATTTTCTTTCTTTGCTTTAGATAGGATTACTTTTTTGGTTGCTATAATTTTAGGAATTTTTTATGACCAGTAGAAATTAAACTTGAAATGCTTAATCTTGAGTCGATAAAAGCAGCAAGAAAGAGGAAAGATGGAAGACGGAAACCAATCCGCCATTTTTGCATGGAAGAGAGGCCTGGAGTCACGATTGTAAATTTTATATTGACGATAGCCTCCATCATTGTGCGGATATGTAACTCAGGCTTGAATTTGTAATGAAAGATTGGGGCTGATCTCATAGCATAGATCCTGGGAAAATAATTTTTAAGTCGAAAGAACGTCTGATGGGCTGGTAATTCATTTAAAATTGTTAGTATTTCTACTACATTAGAATAGGTTATGTCTTAAAAGGTTTTAATCGCAGTGACACCACCAATTGGAGAATCAATATGAATAAGCTGAAAATGTTAAAAGATAAACCGGTAATTGACATAAGATTATTAATAATGTTCGGAATGGTTTGTATTAAAGAGATGTCACTGGCTATGAAGCCATAAAATACGTATTGAAGTCAAAATGTGTTTATTATAACATTTTATATGTTAAAATTTTTAAAAAGGAACAAAAATAGATCTACGAGAGGATAAAGATATGCTAAATTTGCTCGCTTCTCAATTGAAGGAACCCCTCAAGCGAGAAAACGGCATCAAATTGTTCCAAAGATGTAAAGCTTTATGTTATCTTGAATGCTCAGCCCTAACACAAAAAGGATTGCCTCAAGTTTTTTCATATTATATAGTAGATGCATAAATATTTTACAATTTCATCATGTTTAATATTAGTAAAAATACCGTTTTTCTTAGCACAAATTGACTATTTAGGTAAACATCTAGAGCAGTTATTCAGGGCATCATTCGATCTTATTTTACATGTTGATTGGGAGAATACCCTTTCTCTATATTAGTTATAAGTGGCACTATTAAATGCTTATTATAATAGAATATAGAGCTTTATAATATAATGTTAAAAAATATTATCGACAGTTTTTCTGACACCAAAAATGGTTACAATATATTTGTTCTACCAACTATTACCTTATTATTTGCGTGATAAGCTAGTTTCTACATTTGTTATTATTGTGTCACATGAGGATTTTTTTAAACAAAATTATATAATATTTACCCACTAACCCTAAATTGAATTTAAACTCAAATTACCGCCAATGAGTTTAAGTTATCACTGAAATATGTTGGAAGAAAGACAATCATCGCCTCCCATCTCTTATCTGATCCATACATCCCAGATTCCCCTCTTTGCTGACCCCTTGTTAGCCGAAGCCCAAACCATTTGGAGCACTTACGTAGCCCCAAACACTACGACCCACCTCGTGTTACATGTGATATCCCACTCAATATAGGCTCCGTCTCTTATCTAAAATCGAGCTTTCATAATGACGATCTCACAATTTTATTTCTGGGAGCCATACCCTCCAAATGCCTCAATTTGCTGCTTTCTGCAGAAGAACTAAGACTTTGTATTACGACTCAGCTGCAAAATTGTTTTACCTCATCAATGTAAGCATTGTTAAACCAGCGTACATAGCAAGAGTTCATTAGCATTATGCTTTTGTCGAGGCCATTTCCCGCCGCATACCAAATGTAACGATATCATTTTGCGATACCAAATGTAACGATATCATTTTGCGGACTTGAACCAACTGGCATATTTAAAATCGATGGGAAACTTCCGGATAATTTTTTGGCCAAGGGGTCAGCCTCTAGTTTGGGACTTCACTTGCATTGATCCAAATGCAATAACCACAACGTCGATGCTCTCGCATTTGCAAAAACCCAGAAAATCATCAAACATAGCTCCATCAATCCATCTTATTTATTCAAACCCATCGCCTGCTACATTCTTACCATTTTCGGCAGCAAAACTATACTTTTTTAAAGAATTAGAGTGACGGATTCGAGAAAAGACACATCAGTCTAAGGATCTTTTTTTAGCTTGCTCCCACGATTATTAGTTCTTACTACCTAAATTTTATTTCTTCCATCAAATATTCCATGCCTCCTTATACTTTCTTTCATTCTCCTTCTTAGTTTCTCTTTACTATTTTCTTTTTTTAAAATCTTTTTCCTTTTCTTCTCATTTGTCGCCTTTATTAATTTTGAAAAAATAGTTATATGCTTTTCCTTTTTTATAATAATTATATTAGTTATATTTACTTAAATAAAGAAACAATTGAACATTTTTTAATACATTAATTTTTACCCTAATTTATATACAGGTTTTTGAAGAGGCCATTTTATCTGTCATCAAACCTAGACCAATTAAATACAAGGAACCTAACAAATGTATCATCATATGAGAGAAAAAACTAAATAATTTTTTTAAAAATGTAAAATCTTAACTTTTATATTACTTAAAATTCGTTATACAAAATTTTGCCGTAAACCTAAAAAATTCATCGCTCAAAAATTTTCCCCTTTCCTTTTATAGCGCCCTTGCAAGATACAGTTATTATCTTCTTTCCTAGCAATAAATGAAAATCGTGATATTCTTAAAAGTAGAAAATTATGTAAATTGTTAGAAATTATTGACAAAAATGCATTTTAAAAAAATCCTCTATTTTCTTTATTGAAAAAAATTATATTGGCTTGTTTTTTTTTCCTTTTAATTAGAAATATAATGGTCTAATTCTTTACTTGCAGAATTTCTCTAAAACTTATTAAACATAAACAAAACAAAATTTATATGATCATAAACTGTAAATTTTAAGATTTCTGAGACTCAAAATAAAACGAGAAAATGTTATTGGCATGATATGATATTATATCTTTTAACAAAATCAAAAAACTACATTTTTATAATAAAAATTTTTTTTATTAAACCATTTGTCTTATAAAAACACTCATATACAAACAAACATATTCATATTTATTTTGTATAATATTCAATAAAATATTCATATAATATATATTCAGAAATGTAATAAATTATTCGAAAAAATTATTCTTTTTTTCACTGCAAATATATTGCTAAACTATATAATATTTTATAATAAATATAAGTATGATAATTTTTTGGGTTGGGGTTTTTTATTAATTTTTTTAAAAAGGTTATTTATTAGGCAAAAAATATTGTTAAAATAAATAAAATTTTATTTATAACATAAGAATAATAAAAAAATATATTTTGGAAATTGAGCTAGAATTTATGGAAATGTTATACTAAATTCTAAACGTCAAATAATCATGTTAAAATTTAAGATAAAATTTTATATATATTTAAAAAAAGTTTTTTAATAAAATCCAATAAGAATAAAATTTAGGAAGAATTGTGATTAAAAAAAATTAAATATGTTAAATTGCCCAAATAAAATTTTAATAGCATTGAGATCATCGGAAAAAGATGGGCAAGAAACCAGAATCTCCTTTAAGGCCGAAATCTATCGTAGGTATATCATAGTTATTATTAATTTTCGGAGAACCATTATCAGACTTATCTCCTTCTAAGGAGAAATCACCTTGGATTTCTAATTTAGAACTGGGATTCGGGTCATAATCGGATTTTTGTTCTTGACCGTCTCCCTCTTCATTTCTCAAAAAATTTTCCTCATCTTTTTCTCTTGATTTCGGAGATTTCTGGCCTTCTTTTATCTCTTCTGTATCATTACCCCTTCCTTCCAAATCTGAACCGTAACTCAACCCGGCCGCTTTAATTTGCGAAAAATTAGAATTTCTCGATGGTTTTATTAGTTCTTCTTTCTCTCTTTCCTTAAACTTCTTTTCCATGTAGTCATCATTGTACCCCATTCCACTCGATTTCTTAGCCTTCGTATTATGAATTCCCGAATTTTGGCTATTTTTAAGCTCTTCAGCCTCTTTTTGCCTTATAATCAGTTTTTTGAGGGTGGGAAAATTATTTTTTTCGGTATCAACAGCCACATCGTCCTTTCCTTTTTGATAAGATATTCCGTTAAATATATCATGCCCGTGTTTGGATGGATGGTGGTTGTGATATCCAGCCCCTACACCTGCTACCTTTTTGATGATCACGTATTTAATTTTGACGTTATCCGTTGTGGTTGTCGAACTGCTTGTCGACGAACTGGAAGAAGTATAATAATGCTTTTTATAGGACCTATATTGTTTATAAGGAAAATAAATTTATCATTATTTCATAATTTAAAGTGTTTTGTGAGTTGACTTTAGATTTCTACTATTCTAAATTGTCTAATTTTAGCATTGAAATGTTTTAACAATATTTAAAAATAAGTTCAAAATCGACAGATTTAATGAATGTATAGTACAGACACTTGCATAAACCCCTACATCAATATCTACTACCCGCCGTCCCTCGATCTAAAGAACAGAAATCAAAATTAGCAAAACCATATTATAACCTTTAGTAAAGTTAATTTCACATAGATAATAATCAGTGTTGTTAAACGCTACTTTTAAAAGTAGCGCGCTATCGCTACCGCTATCGTTTTCAAATGAGTAGCGCGCTATTAGCTACTTTTAAAAAAAGGTAGCTAAAGCTACTTTTTACGCTACTTTGATTTTTTTTTTAAATATTTTTTTTTACGTAACTTTATTTCCACAAATAAAATATTGATATAAAAACATGACTATAATTTGTTACATATATATATAATTTATTTATTATTGCACTTTAATAATAATAACATTTCGGTACTGTCATCCCCAAGTCTAGAGCGACGATTAGAAAGTATAAGCTTTGCCATACTAAATAATCGTTCAGCACTAGCACTTGAGGGCAACGCAGTATTAAATTTAATAAACAAACTTTTTATATGTAAAAAATCATCAAAAATATTTAAATTAGTATTTTTAGATTTAAAAAAAGCATTTAGAGGTTAATTAAAAATACTTCAGTATATTCTTTAATAAAGGTATGCTACTCCACATTAAAATACTGTATTCCCATTTGATCCAATATATAATTCATTTCCATTTTTTTCTCATCTAGAAACAATGCTAAAAGTTTCATAGCATTGTAAACACTATTCCATCTTGTAGTGTTTGGTGTCAATAAATAACGTCCTAATTTTTTTTTTTGAAAATATCAGACGTCTTTGATGACTTATTTTGTTTATTCCAAAGAGCTTGGCATTTAGAAAATGTAGATCTTGATACTCTTTTAAAATCCTCATTTAATAATGCTTCTTCAGCATCCACTGTCGCAACTAAATTTAGGTAGGTTGTGGCAGGAAGAACGATGATGGCTAGGTAACGTAGAAGACTTTATTGAAGATCCTAAATATTATAAATTTTATTTTATATTGGTGAAAAATTAAATATAAAATAATTTAAAACCAAGGATGTCATGAACATCAATTATCTCAAACTCCATTTCATCATCCTCTTCTTGTTCTCCATCTTCAATATTTTTTTCAGGAATATTACTAGTATTGTTATTATTATTATCCTCCCCAAATATTCCATATTATTTATATCATATTATAAAAAAATTATAATAAATTTAAAACCTGAAGGCCTTTAGGAAATTAGACCCATTATCCGTAATCATCTTACAAACCTTGTTTTGAATTTTGTAAGACCTATGGATTTCTGCAATAATATTGGCTAGAATGTCATAAGTCTGACAACCAATTATTCTCTTTAGAGCTTACAGATTTTCGTTTAAGATTTTTAGGATCAATTCAATGTGCAGAGCTCTAAAAATATGACATATTATAAATCAGAAAATAAACATTTTTACCTTTTATTGTGAGTCCAGCAATCTGCCATTGTACAGACGTAGGAGACATCTGATAGATTTAATATCAAAGATTCTTTCATTTCCTTAAAGCTCTCCAAAATTCTTGCCATCAATGTCTGCCGGCAAAATATCTTGGTCCGTGGAGAAAAAGTGTTTGTCATCTTTATAAAAGAATCATTATCCACCAAGGATAATGGTTGAACTGTATCTATTATCAAGTTTATAATGACTTTGTCAGCCAATTTTTGGGATACACCAGGTGTTGATGAATCCAAATTGGTTAATTTTGTTTGTATTAAATTTGATTTGGAAGTGGGTTTATCTTCTTCCATTACCCCAAAACTTTTGAGATATTTTTCAATCTCTTAATAATTTGAAGTGTGCACAGTCTAAAATTATAAAATACTTAGAATAAAAATTATGTAGGAGATAAGTACATAAAAATGATTGAAATAACTATTTTAAAATGTTTTAGATAAAATGTATGAATATATTAAAAAAATAATTTTTGATTTTAATTTATTTTAAAAATTAAAGATTAGCCTACACATTGATATTAAATTTGTTTAATATATTACCTTTAAATGTTTTTTCAAACTAAAGCTGCTCGTATGATTTGAAGAGATAATTTTGCGGCACATCTTGCACCGAAACCGATATCCAGTTATAATTTTTTCTTCAAGGTTAAAGTATTTCTTGAATTTTGGGAAAGGATCATCTATATTTTGCTCATTTTCCAAAGAAATTTCAATATCTTCAACAATCTCACACATAACAAGATTTATAATGCTTAATATAAAATGTAAAATGAAATATAAAATAAGATAAAAGTAAGGACATACCAATAACGGAATTTCAAAAATATATAATTTAATGAATGCGCGAAATATAAATTAAATACAGATTGCTATTTAACAACTGTTTATATCTAATATATAACAATAATGTATATTTTTAAATATAAATATAAATTTCAAAATTAAATTGAATTAAATAAAAGGATTATAATTTTAGATTTTATAAAAAATATATTTTAATAATTTTTAGATGTATTTATTATGTAAAATTGAAAGTAGCGAAGTAGCGCGCTACTTCGCTACTTTCTAAATTAGTAGCGAGCTACCGCTATCGCTATTTTTTTTAAAAGTAGCGCGCTATAGCTATCGCTACTGAAAAAAGTAGCGCGCTATTTTAACAACACTGATAATAATAAAGTTCATTAAACATTGGAAAAGCTATTACCATTTATTATTACAATTGTCATATATCACAAAAAAAATATTTATTTTTAAAATCCATAAAATGTTAATCATTACATATCTCTAACCCCTTTCCTACCTATTTTATTTTAATAACGATCTTACGGCATACCACTCCGCCCCCCCCCGTGGTAGCGGTAGAAGTGTCTGATATAGTATAATATGAACAAACATACCCTTTCTTTCCATTATAAACATGACCTTTTTTTGTATTGTAGGGTCTATGTTGGTTGAATATGGATTGCCCTTTCTTCGCATTGTACGGTTTATATTGATTGAATATGGGTATTTGCAACGCCTTTTTGTTGATTACTTTATAAGGAAGAATAGGCGCTGAATGATAGGTAGAATATGACCACTCAATATTTAACAAAACCACCACCGATAGACATAGCAGATGCAAGGATGATGAGATGTATGAACGATGAACCTGAGAGAAATTGTGTTTTTAAGAATAAATACAATTTTTCTTACTATTAATGGCTTTAAAAAATTATTGATATTTTATAACGTTATTTTTTTAGATTATTTAAATATGAAAAACTAAATTATATATTAATCTGATGAATAAATAGGACATAAGAAATTTGAATCTATTTTAAATGATCGATTCGCCCCAAATGAATATAAATTGTCCATACGCGTACGCAGGAATTTGGTCTGGGGGGGGGATAATAAATTTTTAAGAAATATTATTGTTTTTTAAAAATATCAAGCATAAATTTATTAGGACTAATAACTATTTCTAATACACAATTTTAAATTAATGTGAATTATAAAAAAATTATATGTAAAGAATCACTTAAATGACCCAAAATAAAAATTTGAATTTTTTGAGCTTTAAAATTTATATAAAAACTATAAAAAATTTAAATGTTAGAAATATAAATTAATACACAAAAAGCTTAGGGAATAATTGTATTTTGTATATTATATAATGTAAAATCCAATCTTCTTTGGGATTGAGCTAATTTTTCAATTATCTCATCCTTGCTTGTTGTCAAATGCCTATGAATATTCAAAAGATCCAAACCTTTCAATCTACTTTCTAAAGTTGTACTTCTTGGTATGTTTTTCAGAGACCTGCAGGCCCCCGAAATTTTTTTAAAAAAACACCCGGGCTAGCCTGAATTTTTAAAAAAAAACATCTAGGCCGGGCCTGAAAATTTTTTTTAAAAAAATATCCGGGCCGGACTGTATATAATAAAACAGCCTATATTTGAAATCGTTATTATTACCTATAAAAATCAAAAATAAATATAATTTATTTTAAAAAAATTAGGGTCGGGCCTGAAAATTGATCTTAGCCGTAAAAATCTTTAAAAAATTCCGGGTCGTGCCCTGCAAATGGTACCTCTGCAGGCTGTTATTCTTCTTAAAAAAGAGAATGTTCTCTCATTAGTTTACTATTGGGAAGAGTTGCTAATATATATAAACCCTTTTAATACATAGAAAATATAATCTAAAATGTGTTTGAAATAATGCAGAGCATCCATAGCATTTTTTGGGACTGTATCAACCATAGTTAATCTTATAAACATAGTTATTCAGCTAATAAGGCATCATAAGATACTTTAACATCTTCATGATAAAAATCCAACAAATATTTTTTTTCTATCACCATCTGAAAAAGGTTGGGAAGGCTTTTATGGAAATAATATTTTCAGATTGGTAAGTGCTGCATAATGAATTAAAAACCATTCATTTATTTGGTTTATAAATGTATTTGTATCTAAGATATACTCTTCTACTGATCCTATATTAATGTTTTAACTATGAGCATGCCTTGCTGCAAGTCGAGTGAGACAAATATTAAACACGTATAGCTCTGCTTTTGACTTAACAATAACATATAAAACATGAAATTCTTCATAAACATTAGCCCTAATTTCCTTGAATTCTATAAAATGCTCTCCGCTATTCTCATCTTCTTAATCAAGTCATCATGTTTTTGAAAAATAATACATAAAATAGTTGTACATTCTAATGAGAAAAAAAATTTGGAATAAGCATTGAATCCAATAATTTTCTTGCTTCTAAGGAAAAATTTCTTTCAGGCCATTGTGATATGTCAGTAATAGCAAATAATCGGCTCTTCTAACTCCATAAAAGCTGTTACTGCTTGATGGCGGAGACTCTATCTCGTAGGACAAGGTTGCAATTTCTTTCTCCCTGTTGGACAATTTCAGAATAATTATTATTTGACTAGAAATTTAAAAATGGTAGATAAATATTACGCCACTAAAAATTTGAAAATAATAAGATAATATTACGCCGGAAAACTTGAAATCGAAATTAATTGATAAACTTAGTTATGAATGTGATAGTAAATGTAATTAAATATATATTTAATATGAGATAGGAATAAATATTAACAAATATAAATTAATATGTGCTGTGTAAATTTAATTCAAAACATTTCCATATTTATTAATTTATTTGAAAATAAAATTATTTGACTTGTAAAAAGTTGTTAAAATAACATATTTATATATTCTTATCAATTTTTACAAGTTAAAATTTTTATTTACAAACGAATTAAAAAATATGGAAATGTTTAAATCAAATCTGCACAACACTCTAAACAAAAATATTTTTGAAAAATATATCCGGCATCTGCATTTTTTGGCTTTGGGGGGGGGGGGGGGGGGGGGGGGGATTTGCCCCCCCCCGCTGCGTACGCCAATGAAATTGTCCATTTTTATCATATTTTACATTTAGTATTTTATTATTTTTAAAGTTTTTCTTATAATCTGATTTAGAAAGGATAGTTTTACAACCTTTAGGCACCTGGATTACTGGAATGCCCTACCCAAAAATGAGTTAACTATGTTATATAATGATTTTATATGGGTATATAATTATAGATAAAAAAAAATTAATTATTAGCAACAGAGAATCACTAGCTTTGTGAATTTAGCGTTTAAAAGCCAAATTTTTAATTATTCTGTACCCATCAAAGGAATTTAAAAAAAGGCTAGACTAATTCATTTATTTAATAAGTTCTAATAAATGTTTTAGCCAGTACCATCTATCCCCCCCCCCCACTTAATACAAGCCTATAGTGCTGTAAACATTTCTAAAAAAATCGAACGCGTTCAAGTTCACTTTCAGAAAAAGGAACACCTTCACGAACGCGTTCACGTTCATAAACCGTTCAAAATTTTATAAATATTTTTTAAAATTTAATTTAATATAAATAAACTAATATTTTTAATACAATATATTAGCCATGTTAAAAAATAATATATTATTTTGATAATATAATTATAAATATAATAATATAATATAGCAAATAAAAAGATATTTTTATTATAAAAAATTTTTCTTATTAAATTTTAATAACAATTGTTTTCAAAATATTTATCTGATAGACAGGAACACTTGGCAGTTAATACGGCATTAGCTATACTAAAAACGCTCTCTACAGGGGCAGATGAGGGGATTGCGGTATTATACTTAATAAACAGCTCTTTTAACGTGGAGAATTAATTAAAAACATTTATTGTTTTGTTATTTGCTTCAAAAAATTGAGATAAGTTATTCTCCTTTAATTCATTCTCTACTTCCTCGACAAAAAAAAGGATATTTCGAAATTAACAGTTCTCAAGGGTTTTCAAAGCATTTTTTTCAATAACGCTATAAGTTTATTATTAAAGGGTTCGTTTTTTGAATGCTGGATGTATAATTGCAGAAAGATATTGATCTTTATATATATGTTCAAATCTTTAAAAAAATAAAATCTATGTAATTAATTGAGAGTAGGTTTAATACATCTTTTATTAATCCCATTTAATACGGCGTCTATCAATGGTTGACCATATTTGAGGCCACTAATTTTTTTTAATTTTAAAATAACTATCGTTATTGTTGGGATCAAATATCCCAAATGCATTATTTCTTCAAATTTAAGGATTTTACTTAGTTATATAAATTAAAATAATTAATATTACAATCAAATGTCGTTTTAAATTGGAACCTGAAGATTTTGACAATATAATACTTTTTGGCCACATTTTACACTTGGTAAGCATTGAATTAGTTCCTTCAATATAGGATGTTACTGTAAAACATTTTTCATATTTGGCCATGGTAATAATCCAAAATCAGATGATGAGGTTAAAATAATAATATCCATGCTTATTCTAATCTATTAAATTAAAATATAAACAATAGTATTCAAATTAATAAACTATGTGTTAAAAAAATTGAAATGTGAAAAGGAAATACACAGCCGATTAAAAAATATAAATATTACTTTTTAAAAAAAAATTGGAAATATTAAATTTTTCAAATAAATAAAAATAAAAAGTAATTTTAAAAATGAACGAAAGTTAAATTCGAACGCGTTCGTCATAAAAAATGAATGGTTCACGTTCATTGTTCGTCAAAAATAAAAGGAACGCCGTTCATCATTTTTTTCAAAAAAACGAACTTATTTTGAACGCGTTCGTTTACAACACTATAAGCCGATGATGCTGAGACCCCTATAATAGAGGAGTACCATAGGATGCAAATACTCCACTTCTAAAAAGGTTAAGCCAGATTTTAAATACTATAAACCTTTAAATTTTACATAAAAACATTATCAATCACTCACTATCATGCAATATAACACCATTATTGATAATTTCTTTATTAAATATAATTAAGAAAATGAGAAAAACAATGAACTAATTTTGAATTACCAAATTTATATTTTCTGATAATAGAAATGGTTAAATATAAAAGAAATATATAAGACAGAAATATGCTGGGAGCAAATTCCGGCCCGGGTATACAAACCGCGTCATATAACATTTTAAAAATTATAAACCGCGTCGGGCTTGAAATTTTTTCTTTCACCAATCTTCCCTGGCCGAAAAATGTTTTTTCTATGAACCCGGGCTAGGCTAAAAATTTATATTATATATAATAAACTAATTCTGTTTTTTAGATAACATTATCTAAAATTACCTCTTTTTTTAGATAACATTATCCTAAATTACCTTATTTTTTAGAAAACTTACCTTTTTTTTAGTAGTATAAAAATATTTCAAAATTTTGAGGGGCATTTCAAGTTATTCAGGATGCTCGAGCCCCTGCGCCCCCCCCCTATTCCGTGACGCTACTGAATTTGATTATGTTATTGTAAATGTATATGGGATCATGTGATATAACAAAACGTAAAATAAAAGTATTAGTAAATTATTATTTATATAATTAATATTAATTAGAAACTTTTAAATTTTACAGATACTTTTTATTCTTTACAATGATTACAAAATTTTCTCGTTTTTACACTAATTACCGGCAACTTGTTACTTTACGTTAACAACAATAGGTAAAATACCTATCATATGGCAGTTAATTTGAAATTTAAAATTTTCTAAAAGGTAAAAAAATTAAAATTATTACTTAAGGGTGGCAGATAATATAGGGACGGCACTGCTCTCGATTAAATCAGCCATACTTGTTTCCTCAGAGAACCTTAAAAAGTGATTTTGATTTTTTTCCATAAATCCTATTACCAGTCATTCTCTGCCATAAAATTTTATTTTCAATATTCTTGAAATATTTTCTTCAAATTAACTGCCCTGCCATATGGTAGGCTAGTAATTTTTTATACTGTTGTTAAAGTAATGCAATTAATTGCTGCTAATTTTTTATAAAAAAGGACCTAAACTAGATTTTTAGAAAAACACATTATATATATTCACAGGCGCGTACCTAGGAAATTGGTCTGGGGAGGGGGATAATAAAATTTTTTAAGAAATATTATTGTTTTTTAAAAATATCAAGCATAAATTTATTAGGACTAATAACTATTTCTAATACACAATTTTAAATTAATGTTTAGGAATAATTGCATTTTGTATGTTATATATTTACAATGCAAAATCCAATCTTCGTTGTGATTGAGCTAATTTTTCAATTATCTCATCCTTGCTTGTCGTCAAATGCCTATGAATATTCAAAAGATCCAAACCTTTCAATCGACTTTCAGATGTTGTATTTCTTGGTATGTTTTTCAGAGACCTGCAGGCCCGGCACCCGGGCCGGACAGTATTTTAATTTTTTTTACCCAGGCCGGGCCCGAAATTTTTTAAAAAACACCCAATCCGGGTTGTATTTTTTAAAACAGCCTATATTTGAATCGTTATTATTAAAAAATCAAAAATAAATATAATTTATTTTTAAAAAATCCGGGCCAGGCCTGAAAATTTTATTTTAAAAAAATCCGAGTTGGGCCTAAAAATTTTTTAAAAAAAGCCGGGCCTGGCCTGAAAATTTTTTTTAAAAAACCCCAGGCCGGGCCGTAAAAAATCTTTAAAAAAAATCCGGGCCGTGCCCTGCAAATGGTACTTCTGCAGGCCTCTGTTATTCTTCTTAAAAAAGAGAATGTTCTCTCATAAGTTTACTAATAGGAAGAGTTTAAACCCTTTTAATACATTGGGAATTTAATCTAAAATGTGTTTGAAATAATGCAGAGCATCCATAGCATTTGGGACTATATCAACCATTGTTAATCTTATAAACATAGTTATTCAGCTAAGGCATCATAAGATACTTAAACATCTTCATAATAAAAATCTAACAAATATTTTTTTTCTATCACCATCTGAAAAAGGTTGAGAAGGCTTTTGTGAAAGTAATATTTGCAGATTAGTAAGTGCTGCATGATGAATTAAAAATTCATTTATTTGGGTTATAAATGTATCTGTATTTAAGATATACTCTTCTACTGATCCTATATTATGTTTTAACGATGAGCTTGCCTTGATACAAGTCGAGGGAGACAAATATTAAACACGTATAGCTCTGCTTTTGACTCAACAATAAAATATGAAATTCTTAATCAACATTAGCCCTAATTTCCTTGAGTTCTGATAAAATGCTCTCCGCTATTCTCATCTTCTTAATCAAGTCAATGTCATGATTTTAAAAAGTAATACTTAAAATAATTGTATAATTAAATAATACATTCTAATGAGAAATAAAATTTGGAATAAGCATTGAATCCAATAATTTTCTTGCTTCTGAGCAAATATTTCTTTCAGGCCATTGTGATATTTCAGTAATAGCAAATAATTGGCTCTTCTAACTCCTTAAAAGCTGTTACTGCTTGATTGCAGAGACTCTATCTCGGACAAGGTTGCAATTTATTTTTCCCTGTTTTACAAGAAGTTTCAGAAATAATTATTATTTGACTAGAAATTTGAAAATGGTAGATAAATTACGCCACTAAAAATTTGAAAATAATAAGTAAATATTACGCCGGAAAACTTGAAATCGAAATTAATTGATAAAATAACTTAGTAGATAAATGTGATAATAAATATAATAAAATATATATTTAAAATGAGATACGAATAAATATTAACAAATATAAATTAATATAAACAATAATATTTTTGAAAAATATATCCGGCATCTGCATTTTTTGGCTTTGGGGGGGGGGGAGGATTTGTCTCCCTGCCCCCCCCCCGCTGCGTACGCCAATGTATACTCATTTAATTTCTTTTAAATGATAATTTAATTATTGATTTGCCACAATTTTTGGTGCTGTTTTTAGACAATTTCTAACAAAGGTAAGCCTATTGATAGTCCGGATATTAAAAGTATATTAAGTGAATTTATTAAATAATTGTTAGATCTTAGATATTTAATAATTAGGAATAAGATAATGGTTAATTAGAATATGTGACAACCTCATATTTTACATCAATTCTATTCCCCATCAAATTTTATATATCATAATTGCAAAATCTTGATAAGTCCTAATTAATTATAATTTAATTTCTAAATGAAGGTATCCAGGGAAAATATTATAATCTATTATCTTCCATTTCCTTTGTAATTAAAATGGTTTGTCCTTAGCAGTAGCACCCATTAGATTGATAAATGGCTAAAAATCATGTGGAATATTTCTCACAAATCCAAATAAATTCCAAAAAGAAACAGCATGTTCAAACTTTGGCAAACTATATATCCAAAATGTCTATTAAAATAAACAAAATTATGTTTATAATTAGCCTTAATTTAATTGTATACCGATATTTTGAACAATAAAATTACTCTACAAATAATATGATTATTAAATAGATAAAATTTCAATTTATTAGAACCCAAATAAGCCAATGATTTAGGAAACTTCATGAAAGAGCTTTCCTGGCGGAACTTGAGCAAAATTTTCACTTCTATAAACAAAAACAAAATCTAAAAATATGACTAAAAATGTTAGTTTAATAAAGCACCTTAGAGTACAGTTATAGGTATAGCAGCACCCAAAAAATAAATAAATTATAGCCGATTTTGAACAAATCGATTCGATCAACCCCGGCCTCCTTATTTTTGAAGTTTCAAATTCTATTTCCTCATTTTAAATTTTATTTGGAAGCTTTAGATAAATACAAAGAGCATATATTTTATCCAATATAAATAAGAATAAATATATTGTTGAATTTACCATTATTTTCCTCTTTCGGAATCAAATATCAATGTATTTTTTAATTTACAAAATTATGTGATGATATTAAATAATATTTTTAATTGATTTATAAAAAAATAAATATATATTTACATTAAAAATTGGATCATTTTTATTACCAATTTAACCGACCCCGACACATTTTTTTTAAAAAAAGGAATATATTTTAATCAAAAATTAATCATATATTTATTTATTTTAAAAAGGTAAAAGTCCATTTGAGCACATAAAAATTTTAAATTTCACATGCATTTGAAATTTTTTCCCATGAATTTTAATCTTTCCTTCTTTATATACATTTATAATTCAACTTAATTTTTTTTTAAACGCCCTAACCAAACCTATAGGTGTAAATATCTAATTTTAATATATACTAAAAATTTGCCCCATTTTCTATAAATTTAAACTTTTAAAAATATAAATTTATAATTTAAAAAATTTTTATGTTCCATCTGCGGAAATCAATATCTTAAATATGTATTGTTTACGAAATAAAATAAAATAAAATTTATATACCAAAGTATTTTATGCTTTGTAAACTCTTTTAAAAGTGATCACAAATGTTTGTATAAAAAAATACTCATATATTATATAATAGATTTCATTAAGTGATTTGGTTGATTTAATACCAGTAAAAATAATTGACCATATCGAGAAAATTGCCGTGAAATGAGGTTTAGGTTTGATAAGCTTTACTCTTTTTTTGATTCCAACAGGTAATAATCAATTTTTATATCTCTTTAAATAAATATAAAAAAATACTAATTATACATAAATAAACCAAGGATATTTATGGTAGATAATCATTAAGATGTTTTACATGTTTAAACGTTATCAAAAAAATATCAGACTTTTCAAGAAGAAAATTTTGAAAGTGTTAATATTAATGATGATGATGATTGATATTAACTGAACTGAGAAGAGAAAATAAATCGCAATATTTAGTTGGAATGGAGGAAAATTGGAGATATAAATTAACAATGTAAATTTTATATGCAAAAGCGTAAAAATTGTATGTACAAAATTAAGGATATGAATGTTTTAAGTCTTTTATAATTAACCATCAAAGATTTATTCCTTTAAAAACGAATATCTATATTATTAAAGATTATACCAGAGTTTCTTCCATGAAGATTTGGAAAATTCAAAGACTGATGCCTCTAATGTTTTATTTTAAGCAAGAGATTTTAACGAATATTGTAATTTGCTATGGATCTAGATTCTAAAATAAAAGAATATAACGATGAACCATTTATTAGCCACCTAGAAGCGTGAGATTAAAATTTATTATAAATATTTTTTAAATTTTAAGAAAATGAAGCCAAAAATGCCATTATTTAATCTACAAAATTTCACCGAACCTTTGGATAAATTGAACATTTATTGGAATATTCTGGATAGCAAATAAAAACCCAACCTATCTTTTTTATCCGTTAATCATATTATCTCCTATTCTCTATATTCTTAAAGTACAAATCATTTATATTATATGTAAATCGTATAAATATTAACATGTAATAAATAGATCGTTGATGTGCCTGATAATAAATGAAATTAAATTAAAACTTATGTTTTAAAGTTAACTTTTTAAAAATTCTTAATGAAATGCGGTCATAATTGGAATACAAGATGAATCTGATTAATATATATTTTAGTTAAATAGTTATATAGTGGTTGAGTCATACCACCTTAACTTAATATTTATTAAATAAATCTGTCCAAATATTGGTCAAAATTATATTTATGACTTGTCCTTATATTAGAGATCTGCAAAAGTAGGCCCGGCCCGAATAATATTAGGAAAATTTGGGCATGGTCGGGTCGGGTCTTAGAAATTTTTAAAAATATATCTAAATTATTTATCAATTTTATGTTATTCTTTATGTAAAATAAAAATATATGATTTTATTTATAGAAAGTAGACGCCAAATAACATATATAGTTTATTTTGAGTAATTACAAAAATTAATATATTTATTTAAATAAATTTGTTTATTGATTATATAGATTAGCCCAATAAAGTAATATTTAAGAAAATTGCTTTAGTACCTCTTTCAACTCAAATGTGTTTCTATATTTTTTGTCTAGAAAAAAATTTACATAATCAAATTACTAATGTTTTATATAAATATGATCTAAAGACCTTTAGTATAATTCACAAAAATATTTGGAACTTAAAGGTCGTATTTGATTTTAAAATAATGTTGAGTAGCCATAGCAAACTTATTCATCCATAGTTTTAATAAGAGAATACATATGAAATCTTTAAAACTTCTTAATCTCTTAAATTATTTAATTGCACCTTATTTTAATATCTTGTACCATAAATTTATCCCAAACCTCATTTGTCTTTATTAAATCCTAAATTAAATCTCTTATACTTTAAAAGATAAGGAATGAATATAGAAAATGCTAAATGCAATATTTTCAATATTAACATGCAATATAAATGGCATGTAAAATGCTTAAAATATTCATCATAATGTTAAAAGACCCAAGATCAAACAATCCAAGAAACCCACTTCATTGACAATATTAAAGTTACACATCAAAAATAACTGGGGAGACGTTGTGTCAACTGTTAAAAATAATTAATTTTTTATGAATTTCAACCCTATATCTGAAAGAATGTACTCTTACCTTATATCTCAATAGTCAACACCGCGTACAACACCCCCCCCCCACCGCCAATAATATAAAATATATGCTCCTGCATGTATCAAAGATAGAATAAAATTCTTCGAAGATCACCAATTAAATACTCTACCTAAAAGATACAATTTAGTAGTAAACTCGGAAATTTGAATATATAAATTGGACGAAAAATATCAACAAAATAATAGGTGCTGCTACTTTCATAATCAAATTTAGAGGTAGTAATAAACTTTACAAGTATGTTCTAATCATGATCTCGGAATCGAAAATAATTCCTTTAAACCCCGCCATCTTATGCCAATTGCTTAAGAGACAACCACTCATCCCAGATTGTTGATTTTATTCTAGCTAACTTTTTTTACACTGATACAAAATTATTTTGTTTGATATATTAATTTTTAACTATTTTATTTGGCATAAAACAAATCATGGCCATTTATCCCAGATCCCCCCTAAATAATATGAATAGTTTCAATTTCAAAAAAGAAATTTAACGGGATCAACTAAAGTATAGATGGCACTTTAGAGTTGATTGATCCCTTCATGTAAATTAATATAGTCTCTTGAATTTTAGGAATGGTAATGTGAGCGTATCTTTCTAATATGAAGTTTGTATATTCAGTAAGCATTTAAAGAAATGAAGAACAAAAAGACTCCTATTTTCCAATTATAAATCTTTTCATTTTATATTTTTAAAATCTGTTGATAGGGATTTAATCCAACAAGATTATAATTTATATTAAATGTATATAATATTAATATATAACTTAACTTTTATAACATAAAGAGATAATCATGGCCCGGCCCGAACTCGGATCCGGGTTTAAATTTTTAAATATGATATTATTACATTTTGTCTAATAAATCAATATATTTTTAAATTCTTGAAAGAAACAAGGCGCTAATATTTTATATTTGTAGATTACAATTTTTAAAAAAATTTAAATATTTCTGTAATTTTTATTTCTAGTCGGGCTTTTCAGGACAAATAAAAAAAAGTATTTCGTTCGGGATCAGACCGGGCAAGAAAAATTTTTGAAAAAAAATTTAGGCACGGCTAAGCTTAAATAGGCTTGATGCAGATCACTACTTTGAACCCTCTTTTATAATTTGAAAAGGTTTATAGAGATATATAGTGGCTAGACATATTTTAATCATGATTATAAAATAATAAATATATATTTTAACTATATTATTTTGTGGATTACTTTTATCAAATTTTTAGTGGCGCCAATATCTTCCTAATCTAAAACCAAAATATCTCTATCAAAAATATGCCGCAGTCTTATTTATCAATTCCCCCCCCCCTTCTTCCCCCTTTAACACTTGAAAACATTCGTCGGGTGCATGCGGATCCTATAAATTTTAAAAGTTTCATATCAATTCAGTGGAACTTTAACCGCGAATCAATCTTTCGTAAAACTTTTACTGCAAATGGATTTTATAGCTAAGGCTATATCACAAATATAATATCACGAATTTTTTGTAGTAAAACCCTTACCGTAAACTTTTTGGAGTGGATACATAACCTCAAAACTTCTATCACGAATCAATATATAATAAAATTTTATCGCGAAACCTAAATTTCTAAAACAATATAGTGAAATTTTACAAATATATATGGATTCGAATTAAAAAAATATTTCTTAAATTTTTGAAAGTTTATAAGGGTTCATATAATTATTTTTATAATATTACTTTTTATTAGTCTTCATTTCATTTATAGTTTATATATTTTTTTGACGAATGTTTTTGATCCACTCTCCTTCTTATGACAGACGTGATGACTTAGCATGATGTATAATTGGCTTATTATTGGCTTTAATTTAATATCGTTATCTATATAAAACTATTTATCTAAAAATATATTACAGGCTTGACCCACTCCTAAGGTCCCAATTCAGCAGTAAAAATGTGCATAAATGATGTTAGGTAAGTAATAAAAATAAATGCTTAAACTAAATTCACTTAAAAAGAAAAAAGATTTAAAATGCCAAAAATTTCTAAATGATTTACTATTTGTTTCTGGGATTCTAAAATAAAAATTATAAAATAATCCAAACCAAATCATCTTAGATTTTTTTAAAAAATTTGAATAAATCAGTTAAAATTCTTCACTTTTAATATTTTTAATCCTGAGAAAGTTGGGAAAAAAATTCTAAACGTTTCAGTTTTTAATCCGACCATAAATTTGTTTAGCATTCGTATTAATTAAGGAATATTCGGCATATTATAATCATAATCTAAATTTAGAATGACTAATCAATGTAGGCTAGGTCTGGGGGATAGGGAAAATATTTTAAAATTAAATATAGTTATCAAATGAAAGCTAATTTAAATATATTTTAACTCAAGTTATAGTATTCACTCTTGGTCATGAGTGCGACTTGGTCTTGAATGGGGGGTTTTAGAGGGTAAGGGCATAAAAATTATATTTGTATCAAATAAAAGGTTAATAAAATATATTTTGACTATAATGTTAAGTATCAATTAAGTGGGCAGGTCTAGAGATAGACTTGCCAAAAGTTAAACATGAAAATAAATGCAAATACATCTCAAAATTGTTTTAATTTGATTATTAAAAATTTTAATAGAATAGAGTGTCATTTATGAATTATGTAGATGAGATTGAATTTAATCTGTTAGGACTATTATATCTGGTGGAAATTTATAGATAATAGACCCTAACTATCTTATTGAATATCACCATAATACATTAACAAGTGTTTTGCTTCAAATAATAAATTAAAAAGAGTTCAGTACGAAAACTATTACTTTGACCTCGGGGCTTTTCTTAAAAGTAAAGCAGCTCAAATTTCAAATAAATTAAAACGCCTTAATGTTAACGGATTTTCTTCGGAACGCTCTTGTAGATAGAGCCGAATTCGCCGACTTTTTTTCTAGTGGTTTTGTGTATCTCATCATTTTATGGGCTTTTGTCATTTTGCGTCGTTTAGTAATTATTTTTGACCACTTTTGAAATTTTCTATACTTTTTGCGCTATTTTAAGAAATATAAATCATATTAATTTTTTTTTATTCAATCTGTTAAACCCAATTTTTTTAAAAAATATTAAATAAACTGAAGTTTCAATTAAAACATCTTTTAAAAAATTTAAGAGGTGTGAAATATCATCCTAATATATTATATGGTATAATGTATACTTCCCATTTTAAATAAAACAAATATCGTAAGTTTTCTCGTTCGTGATTATCTTATTCAATGATGTTTTGAAAAATAAATTATATATAATTTATGTAGATAAAAGTTTTGCAGGTGATTAAAGGTAAGGACATAGGTGAAAATTATTTATACTTCCTTAAAACTTATCAAATTACAATTTCCTTTTTAAATAAAAATTTTAAACGATAATGTATTCATATTCATAATAATATTACTTAATTTATTTATTTTTTCATATGGAAATAAAGTAAAAAGTATTAAATTTTAATGAGAATGATGATGCGACAATGA